GGCTATGAAGAAGATACTACGTAGATATCTGGGACTAGAAAGGAGGGGTAACTACTGAAGACGATGAAACAGCCATAGGATAATAAAGAAAAGAAGCTGAGGCTAATTCGAGAAAATCATACAAGCAATTGTTAAGAGACCTATAATGAGTTATGTGTGTAACCCTTTGTAGGTAACTTATCTCCTAAGTTTAGGAGTCAAGGGCAATTATCTTTGAAATTTCCAATAAGGATGTTTGACTACAAAATTGTTTGAGTTCCATAACACTGAGATCTCACCCTCCAAAAATTGGACACTCTATTCAATCTTGAGACATTATCTTTTCAAGTACAAAGAGAGTGCAATATGAGAATTTTATTTATTAAGGCCAGTTTATGGGTTGAAGAGTCTACATCCCCAAAATTTTGGGTCTTAAAATTACTCCAAGATTGGATTTTACCAAAGTAAATGGATAGTATACTCCCATGGGAACATGGAATCTTTTGGTGTGTATCATTGTAATTTGCACTTCTTACATGCTCCTTAGCACTGGGATAGCTCATGGTAATTTTTTTCTTAGCACACAATAATTTATTTGTACTAGAAATATTGGCTACTCACATGAGCAATAACAATGAGGAGCCACAATAACATCTGCCTATTATGGATTGGAAGTGTCCTAGTGGATGAAGATTTCTGAAGCATTCTGCAAGAAAGAATGGGAGGCTTGGGTAATTGTATTGACATTAAAAGCTTCTTGTTGCATTGGAGGTGTTGCCCACTTACGCATCAGTCATTTATCTCTTCTTGTTGGTCGTTATTCCACCTCACACTTCCTCTATATCTCCCTATTTCTCGCTCCCCCACTACCTTCTCTATCTCCCCCAGATCTCACTTGCTTTTGCTAGCAGCCTACTGCTTGTGGGCCACTGCTACTATAGATGTTACTTTTTGGTTTGCACTTTGGACCCCCTTTTTGTATTTGAGCTCCCGGATTGTGGGGCCATATTGGGGATGATGTATAGATACTTGTACTATAGTGATAAAGTCAACCACTTCTACGAGGGGGGGGGGGGGGGGGGGCGAGGTTTTCTACAGGGTCAGACATGAGTGTCATGTGCCATAAGCCAAGAACATGCATGTCCCATTTGCACAATCAATAACCTTCACATTACCCCCTAGCATAATGTGAAGTCGGGGTGGTAGGAAATCATACTACCAATCAAATTGGATAGCCAATCATAATCTCAAAAATAAATCAGCGAAGCTTTCATTACTAGTGCAATTTATGTAGCAAGATGATATTGCATAGGAGACTATCACCAACTAATATGGATTCATTGTGTTATAAGAGACTTGTTAAAGTTCACAATTTCACTTAAAGTGAGAAAGCACATGATGATTGGGAATATAATTTGTTTCAATTAGGCTAGGTCCCACATTTAGCTAAGTCCATATGAATCTTACCCAGCACAGAGGGGCCAGCTTTGTATTTTGTGGAAACATGGTTTATGAGCCATTTTCTTCATGAAATTGAATTACTAATCATATCTCTTAGAACACAATATGGTCCTTTTTTTTACCTAATATTGCTTTGACTTTTGTTTTCCTTGGAACGTACAATCACAAAAAACCTAAAAGTTGGTGCTATTTTGCTCTCTCAATATATTTTCACTTGGAGATTATCAATTTGTAATGTTATGAAAAGTAGGATTTATGTTTAGGGTTGCTTATTACTCACAAGTTCAAATGTGATCATATACCTTTCTCTTTTTTTGGCTATGGGTTGCTGGTTGCCAGGCTGTGCTAGTTAATATTTGTTGGTTTTGTATGTTTCAGACACCTGTAGCGAAAATTGTACATGCATACAAAGAGTACAAGGATGCATAACAGAAATTATTATGGTTATTTAGAATACCGATTAATCAAAAAATTTACATGCATACGTAGTGTATGGAGCATCCTTTTTTTTGAGTAAAGTTAACGTGTATGGAGCATCCTTTTCATGTATAATACAAATACCCAAAGGCTATTTTTGGATACCAAATATATCCAAATGATGGATTTAAGCATAGATGGCCACACAATGGAGAGAGAACTTGGCAATTGATTATAATTATGTTCTAAACTGATTACAATTGATGTAGTCATTATCAGTGTCTCATACCTAGGATTCCACTGCCCAGAGAAAGTTAGCTCGGCGAGTCTTAAGTCGATTCGCCAAGTCCCATATTTAGAGAACCATAGTTGGTTCGCTGAGTCTCATCTTTAGAAAACCATACATCTTGAGGGACATTCCCTGGATTTTTTTGAAGAGCTAACAGACTCAAGTAGACTCAGCAAGACTCAGATCATCCTACTCCAAGGTTATTTGGAACTGGTAGGGTGCCAAATTCAGAGTAACTCAGACAAGCCCAAGTCAGACTCGCCGAGTTTATAACACTGGTCCTTATCATGAATCTGCATAATTCCTAGATAGGCAGTAGTAGTCTAATTAACACTTGTATTACTACAACCTCCAAAGAAAGGTACATAAAAAAATGATGCACCCCATACACATTAAACCCAAATATCTAGAGAAAATTACCCCGAACCCTACATTACAACTTAGATTCTCCCAATTCCTAGGAGCTCGAAGCAGCAGTTCAAACAAAAGGGAGCTGTCCAACATTCCAAGACGGGCCTCTTGCAGGATATATGTCCAAAATTCTGGGAGGCATAGTGTGATTTAGAGTGATTGAAACGAGGTTATGTAGGCAGGGACAATTTAAGGCATTGGGAAGGCAGATTAGAACTATATGAGCCTCCGACCCTATAAACTCATGTATATTTGGAGGGAATAAAAGGGAGAGTAGGGAGGGGCATAGAGAGAAAGAGACTGAAGCTGAGAACCAAGGCTCAGACAGACCTAATTCCATATTGATACAGATAAGTTGTTCTACACAGAATTGCATTAGTCAAAGAAAATGGAAAAGTTATGTCTTTTCCTCAAGCACAAAATCTTTAAAGCAAAAAATTAGAAGTTTTTTTTGGGTAAATCAGTGGGGAATTAAAGAAATACATATGACCCTTAAAAAGGAAAAAGCATCCTATTGGAGGATTCTTCTAAGTATTATCAATACCTATCAGTCAACAAAACCCAAGAAACAGAAGGCAAATTCAGGTTGCATGAGAGTATTGCAACTATGATTTTATGCCAAAGTGGGTAAAAAATTGTCCAAAGCTAACTGCTAAATTATCAACAATGATGAGTGGGCATCTCACTGTACCTCATACCTTCAGTCATAAAAAGCATTCAATAGCATTCAATAGTCATCATAAATCACCACGATCAATGAGATAGGTAAAGTACATGTATTTTAAAGCATCTTTGAAGTAATCATCAGCAAATAAGCATATAGTTCCACTGGCTCTTTCAAAGCAATGTCCAGAATTGTGTGGACTTTTTGCAACCCATTTGAGTCCAACTCAAATCACAGGAGCCCCAAGTTCCGCAGTTTTAAATTAAATATAAAGTGACCCAAATGACATGTCTCCAGACACTAAGGGAAACCTTCATCATTTATCCCAGTATTTATCCCAGAAAGCAACATATAGAACCCAATTAGGTGAATGCAAGTACAGCATTTCAACCACCCATTCCCAAGATCGATCGTGGAGATGAACCAAAGAACAGCCATGACAAACTTCATATCTGCACTACAGTCAACATTTATATAAGGGATGCATGGTGGATGCCCTCCCTATGTATGTCTAGCATACAAATAATGTGCATGAATTTAGCATCGAACAGTATATCCAATATTTGTAAGCATTGAAAAGAAGACAATATAATCTCTGCACTAACTTTATAGCAGATTACTCACACAATAAGTGGCAACTAAGAACCCTTTTAACATTTACAAAATAAAATTAATCCACCTGCAACATAAATAATAATACTCCTTCCATCAGCCAAGACATTCAAACACAATCCATGACTACGAATCATTTCCACGATTTTTTTTTTGTTGCTTTTTCCTTCTTCCTTTTTTTTCGTGTGTGTGTGTGTTAGGGGAGGGGGGGGAATATTTCCAAGAGAAAAAATAAAAGCATTACTAAATATTATCAACAAGTAAGTATTTCAATAAAGAAACTGGGACAGGGACAGGATTATTACCGATAAAGAAACTATCGGTAATAATTTCTTACAAATTTCTTACAATTACAAGAATTCACTCCATTATATCTTCCATCAGCATCACTTCCAATCATATCTGATGAGAATGCAATATCCTAAATGAATCATGTTTGGCATAACTACTTGTATCATAACAAGAGTAACTTAAATGATGACATTAACAAAACATTTCTACAAATGTCAGTAGTTAAATAAGGACATAAGAAACAAGGTGGTGGAACAAAACTCAATCGCACCATCATAATCTTAGCCACTAAAGTTAGTGTCGAATAATAGAAAGAAACCAAGGTATCAAAAAACGCTAGGCGGCCCCTAGGCAGCCAGCCTGGCGCCTAGATCCAGGAGTGCCCTGTAGTGGAAAATCATCCATTTTTAGCCCTATAGTGGAAAATCATAGCATTTTTAAAAATATTTGCTATCCTAATGTACATATATGCATATATTTGTGTCAAATTTTGTAATTTATTCCATTTCGCAATATGCGTTTTACTTTGGAGGTTCAAAAATAAACCCCATAACTTGTTATACAAACTTGGGGGTAAAAATAACCCATTCTGCCCTTTTGGGCGAATTTAAAAAGCAATTTCTGCCTAACTTCACTGGGCGCCCGCCCAGGTAAAAATGCCCGTTTCAGGCTTCTTTTCATGAGGCGTTCGGTTTTTTGTTAAAAAACACCTAGGCGAGGCGTTCGATTTTTTTGTTAAAAAAAGCCTAGGCGGGCACCAAGGCGTCGGGCGGACCGTTTTTTTAAACAATGAAAGAAACATTTATCAAACTCACAAATATAAGTTGATTCCGGCAAGACCATAGCAATATTCTTAGAACTCAGCAGCAAACTCACCATTTTCCCAGAAGCAAATATCAACGCTGTGGTTTTCGGCTCTCGAATTCTCATGATAACAGCAGCAAAACGCTGGTTGAGAACATAAACAATTAAGCAAGGTAATGGAACATATTCTCTAAAAACCCTAAACCCTTAAACAGTGGTATAATCAACATAGAAACACATGTATAAAGTAGGCTCACATAAAGAATGTTTTAAGGACCCAAAAACAACAATCAAATGAAAATATAGGGGCTCAATGAATATCACATACCTTAGGATTGTATTCAGCATTGCGGGCTTGCAAAGCTATGGCCTTAAGATCCAATTTGCAATCCAAGTTCACAGTTGAGACAATATTCCTACATTTTGAAGTTAATAAGCTACTAAGCACATGTTAAATGGATGACGTAAAAGCACATTGTGGCCCACAAGGCACATACTTATTGAGTTACTATGAAAATTTAGGATCCTTCTATACTAATATTCAAACAACCTGTTCAAGGCACAGATTCTATTTATAGTAATGGTATCCTTTTTTCAATAAATATTTGACTGTATTAGGTTTTATGGCGCCTCATCATTATAAGGGTATGTGGAGAAACTTTCTGAATTGGACACAAATTGTTGGCTGATTGTAAGAGCACCAATCAGAAGATTGCTGGAAACAATACTTCTCCTAAGAACCGTATATCATAAGGGGGCATGATCCACTAGAACTAACCTAACATTCTGTTCCCATGATTTCCAATCAGAAATGCCCAAAAAATAGAGAAAGATTTATGTGACGTATATCAAACAAGCCATATATAATCACCTAAATGTCCAAAGCTACGTCAAACAAGGAAACAACTTTTCTTCTTTGAGGTAAGTTAATGAGGAACATAAAATCCATCCATCACGTTTGAAAAATGAAGAAGTACCAGACGTTTCAGGATAAACTTACTGAAGAGTGGGTACTATTCCAGAAGGATGCTTGGTAAGATCAACAGGCTGACTCCCCTCCAAGACCTGCTCTGCCATGCTCCTTTCAATCCCCTCCTTTATCAATCTTATAACCCGTCAAATTACAAAGATTATCTCACAATTACACACCAGATTCTTCTGCAACCCTGTGAATAACACAAAAATACATCACCATCAAAAGCGCAACTAGAATTTAGAATATTCCGAAATTTACCCTTTTTTGTATGGTTTCCAGTAAATTATCAACACATAAGAAAGGTTCTCGTCTTATTTTCCCCTTTTTTTCTAAGAGAAAAGAATAACTATATATATATATATATATATAGGAAAATTGTTTTATGCGGGGACCACATTTCTACAATATGCGGTCCAGAGTATATATATATAGGAAAATTGTTTCATGCAGGGACCACATTTCTACAGTATGCGGTCCAGAGTATATATATATATATAGGAAAATTGTTTCATGCGGGGACCACATTTCTACAATATGCGGTCTAGAGTATATATATATATATATCGGAAAATTGTTTCATGCGGGGACCACATTTCTACAATATGCGGTCCAGATGTATAAAGCATCTATCTTTAAGATGGATGCAAATAGGTGGTCCATCTAAAAACAAGTGTAACTAGCTGTCCAAATATTTTCTTAATACAATTATTATTTCTAGTTTTCAAAAAAAAAAAATCCATATTCATGATCTCCATGTTAAAGATAATATATTCTCTAAAAATTAGGATCAAATTATATTTAAAAATATATTTATTTCCAAGCCTTCATTTTTACAATGTGCGGGCTGGCCGTATAGAATTAAAGGTGCACCTCAAAAATCCATCATAAAAGGTTGATTGATGTTGGAAAACACTCGAATTGATAATCTCGATATCGAGATGTATGAATATAAAAGAAAAAAAGTTTTCGAAAATAGTGCATCATCTTGCAACACATTATCTAGACCGTCCATTTCCAAGATTTTTGTGTTTATAGATCTACGTAATTTGAATCATTTTTAGAGTTTAAAATTTTATAATTAGAGACGAAAAATATATTCTCAAGCCATCCTAAGAATTCTTTATATCAAAATTACATCTATGATAAAATTTAGAGATGCACCTTAATTGGATTGTTTAAGGTTGCAACTTATGCAAACCACACCCATATATATATATATATATACACAAAAACCACGAGAAGTGGTTGCAAGCAGCCTACACATCAGGTGGTGGTAGTTGGATGGAAGAACACACAGAAAGAGGGTGTACTGATTCCTCAATAAGTTAGTATACATAATAAAACCAGAAAGAGAGACAGGTGAAGTTAAGGTAGGGAGAGGAACCACCCTCTCCCCTCCCCAACGGAGAGGGAAGGGCAACGATCCTAAAACCCTACTAAGATCTAGAAAAAGAAAATGAAAGATGGAACCATAGGTTGCTATCACGAAAGCAGAAAAAGGTGGTTGCTCACAGGCTCCCTGCTTCATCCAGAAGAGGTATTGGATACAACAGTCTGCGTATGATTTCCTATCTACAGCCTTATTAGCACTAGAGCAGAAGGGCGCACGAGAGGTTGGGGGCGGGCGGTAACTATAAATTGGCAGTAATAGTGTTATAGAGGTAGAGGGGGAACCTGGGTCTCCTTAGATGATCGTTTAGGTTGAAACCTAGAAGGAAAAGATGTAGAAGTTTTCAGTTTCCTCTCACTGGTTCAAAACCCTAATATCTGTAAATTGACTTTAAGCCCCAATGACAAGCCAAATGTCTTAAGTATAAGCATAGTCAATGGGGAGGAGCTGGGAGAGAAGAATGATGCCCAATGTTGCCTCCATACTTATGTTACAAGAAGCCACCTCCTGGAGAGAGAGAGAGAGAAATCCTTGGGGAAGAGAGAGAAATCCTTGGGGAAGAGAGAGAAGATGGAGTGAGAGAGAAGGCAAGAGAAGGCAGGACCAAACCTGAAAATCCGTTCAAATCCATGTTACAAGAAGCCGCCTCCTCGACAGAGAGAAATCCTTGGGGAAGAGAGAGAAATATGGAGTGAGAGAGAAGGTGGGACCAAACCTGAAAATCCGTTCAAATCCAGGTCCCTCTGAGCATCAGGAAGAAGAACACGGTAAAAACCTAAAATACTCAAATCCTTTCAAACTATGGCACAAACTGTACGGGTTTGACCCAGACTCGCAAAACAGGACAAGAAAGAACAGCTTCCAATGCAAATCCTCCACTATGGATCTTATGCAATAGATTGAGGCAACAAGTTGCAGGTTTTATTAGAATTTCAAAGAAAGACTAGGGTTTGAGAAGACCCCTTCTCGTCATCTGTGTAGAATGCTTTCCTTCAAAAATGGCAGAGCCAGCATAACCTTCCTTTTTCAATATATACCAATTTCAAAACATCAATCTGGGCCTTGAAATCTAGTCTGGGCGTATCTGAAGTTTCGCCTGGGCTTTCTAGGATCAGGGTTTCTTTGGATTAGGTATGCTCGCTGAGAATCTGAGAGATGCGGGAGAAGGGGCTCGCTAATAGAATCTGAGTATAATCTATGACTGAGAGGAGACGGAGAAATTTGAGAGAGAGAGAGAGAGAGAGATATGAGAGTATCTACGAGACAGAAGAATCTGAAAGAAAGAGAAGTGGGGTTCCGGGATTCAAGACAGGGGACGAAAATTGAGACAGGTTCTCGTATTCAGAAGAGAAAGAGAAAAACGGAAATCTTGATATTATCATAAAAGTTTATTCAAAATAGACAAAAAGGATTCTTTTTACAAGTTCTGGTATTCAGAATAACAATCCACGCAAATAAATGAAATAAAACACCATTGTTTCCAGCTAATCTACCCAAAAAATAACTCGTACATTTCAAATAATAAAAGAAACCGATATATAACTCTTTTACGTGTGGAGAAAAGGGAAGAACCCCATCAATCTAGAATACGGGGTATCAAGCCATTACTCTGAAACCTTGAACACTCATTTAAACCACAATCTCCCAAATTCCATTAACCAATCATGCTCTTAACGGGCAAAAGCCTCTGCTATTCATTCAATCCCATGAAGCAAAGATCCGAGAACAGCAAAAATTCAGAGATCGAGACTGGGTACCTCAGATTAGGTTTAACCAAACCCTTGGGATTGAATGCAATCCAATGCGAAGGCCCCTCAGCGTTTTAGAGAGAGAGAACCGTTGAGATAGAGAGGAACAGCGTCCAGTTTAACGAAGGAGGGAAGCCGAGCACAAAAGATAACGAATTCAGAAATTAGGGTTCTTATAGGGAAGAGGGGAGAACGTTGGGGATATTTATAGGCAGATGGATAGAGAGACAGCGCACGAACCCGCGGATTCACTCGTACAATAATGGGTCTATTAATTTTTGTAATGACCAAAAGGACCTCACCACGTTTCTTTCAACCGCTGCTAGGACGTTCTCCTAACCTTCCTTTTCCGTGCGTGTCCCCAGACGCATATATAAATATAACTGTGCATTTCCGTGTTGTAACGATAATAAGAGTTATATCAAGAAATGAGCATTTTAAGTAAAATTTGGGGTATTTATCGTAAATATACTTTAATTTTGGATTAATTGGAAAAAAAATTCAACTTTTTAAAACTTTGTTTACACTATTGTTTTTCATTTTCATTTTTTTTTTTTTTTTACGAAAATGACTTTCACGGTGGTCGTTTTACCGAAATATATATTACAAATTTACAGTAATTAAAATACCATAATAATTTGAAGTAATATTACAGTAGTTTTAGTACCGTAATAGATAACATTTTCTTTACGGCATTATTTCTACCGTAATAAGTTGAAGGTTTACTACGGCAATCAAAATGCCGTAATATTTTAGCTCGTTATAAACCCTAACCCGAAGGCCATTCTTTCTTTACAGTTCTTGTTCTACCATTATTGAATTCTCAATATTTGCGGTTCTCAACCTCTGTGCTCAATCTCCCACCAATCTCTCACGGGTCTCTCTCCCTCATCAGATATTTGAAGTAATAAATATTTCTCTAGATTTATAAATGAGGTTGTATATTTATTTTTTGATTCCATGTTTTGAGTCTACCATGTGATGATCGATTGTATTGTGTTTATATTTTAATTTTTGTTTCTTTGAAGTTGTTCAGCATTATGCATTTTTTGCTAGTTATATATATATGATAATTTAAACTTCCCAACCCTTCAAATCACAAAGGTTGAAGATAGAGAGAGAGTTGTGAATGGAGGATTTATTAATTTTGTAGTATATTTTTTAAAAAAATTACTTTTGTGGGGCAATTTTGTAAATATTACTACAAGACAAATTGTATTTTTGTCATCTCCATAAGGGGTAAAATTGTATTTTAACAAATGATAAAGGCACTCTACAAATAAAGTTCTTAGACACTAACTTCCAAAATGTTATTGTATTTTTGTGAAAAATTCAAATTTGCATTTGCTTAATGGTAAAATTACCTATTTAAATAATTATTAATAAAAAATAATCATTGTTTTGATAAATACACTCATCACAACCCATTCTAACTTGAACTTCTGTATTTTGAGAGTTTATTAACTCTAGACAAACCCTATATATATATATATATGCATTGTATATTTTATTGTTTGTTCCTTTATTAGTTTTTTGTTGCATCGCAGTGCGAACATAAGCTGTTCGAGAAAAATTTTCTTTGAGGTTGCAGTTCACTGAGAGTCAGTAACCTATTGATTTGATTAGCAGACAACCATGTTCTTCTAATCTTTATGTATTTTTTGTTTATACTTTATTATAATTTATCATATCCATTTTTCATGTATGCAAAGGTTGGGGATTTATAACTTCTCGTGTTCACACCTAGGGCTTAAGCTCTTTTATGCATTTGTGTAGTAATAACTATGATTAAACCTACTTGATTAACTTGTACCAAAAGAGTCTAGTGTGATTAAACTTACTTGATTCACTGTGATTAAACTAAAAAAGTCCAGTGTGATTACTATGAGTTTGTTGTTTATGATGGCTTTTTAAACAGAGATCATGACAGAAGATGCACTCTTTCCTGGAGGTCATGAGATTCTTACATTGCTTAATAGACAGAAAAAACATATATCATAGAAGATCTGGGACAGAGCTGTATGTACAAGTGTTTAAAATTATATTTTTTTTTATCATGTTAGTTAATCAAATTATTTATTTTAGTATCTGAAATCACAAATTCCATTTCAAGATTGGGAAAATGCCCTCAGGGTTTATGAGAAGCCCAATGCAACTTCTTTATGGCCTTTAACAAACAACAATCAAATTGATTTGGTCAAGAGATTAGGATTCTATTCTCTAACCGTAGTACCAATGACTCACCATGACCGTGGCATATTATCTATTATTATTAAAAGGTAGCGCGTAGATACGAACACCGGGCACCTCAATATCGATTTTAGATAGATGATGCATACTCTTGAAAATGCATGGAAAATTCTCCGATTAAAGGTGACTGATGTAGCTGTAACTTTGAGGATAGTGAAAAACTACAGGGATTACATAGTCTGCATGATAGGACAGCTGCCACCTGGTTGTAACCATTATATTATCCAGCTGACATGGCTAAGGAACACTTTTAAGCAGTTGCCACAGAACCATACCGCACCACTCTTTTATGATACATCCGTGCCTACCTCCTATATCTAGTCGGCTGCATAATATTTGTGGATTCTACAGATGGTACGGTTCCTATAATATATTTACACCTTTTTTAGGATATGGAAATAACTGGTCAGTATACATGGCGTGTAGCTACCCTTGCTTTTTTGTTTCGAGGCTTATCAAAGTTTGTTCGTCCTGATTATCAACACCTCAGTGGATCAACACTATTTTACTAGTAATGCTAGTATATTAATATTTTGATAGTTCTTTTAAAGTTCGATAGATATTTTTTATTGTGATTTTTATTTATTTATAAATGCATTTTAGTCTTGAATGTACGAGCATTTCAAATTGTTGCGACAAATTTCTAAAGAAATAAGGACAGGGCAACCTAGATCCCTTACTTGGGCCCCTCCTAGAGAATGAGATAACACTCACAACTTTCGTCTCATGGGGCGATAGGAGATTGATAACACGCGGATAAATGATGTTAGTATAGTATAGTTATCATTTATTTTGTTTATTTATAATTTAATTATTTTTTGGTGCAGATTATTTAACTTAAATTTTATCTTTTTGTTGTCATAGGTCATATGGACCACATACGATGATTATCCTGACCTAGGAGAAGAAACTAAAGGAGACAGAAATTATGGGCTTATTGTCCATCAGACTTATTTATGTCGCACATACCTCATATGTGGACACATATGTGAGGGGTATATGTCAGATCGTGTGCTCTGGCAATTTGGACTTCACCAACGGATACCGAATGATCCTTGCCATGTGAGAGGAGGGAGAGAAGGGGGGAAGAGGACTGACAACTGAGCAGATGAGCTTCGAACTGAAATTGATGTGCGGGCGAATAAGTTAGATTATATTTGTCTGACAGATGAAAATATGTTTAATGGGAAGTTGACACAATAATATATCGAGTGGTACATGCTAAGGACTAGGCCCCTAATCCATAATCCATTTAGGAAACGTCCCTCCAAATACGCACCTCGGGGTTATAATGATGAAGATAGAATGGTAATAATCTATTTTCATATTTCATATGAATTGATTATTTATGACATTTTAAATTTAAAAGTCTCAATAATCTATTTTTTCATATTTCATATGACTTGATGCAGCCATGCAGCTGAACTTGTACATGAATGTTACAATTCAAGAAATTGAAACCTAGTTGGGGAAGCATTAGAATTGTTGAAAATTTATGACTTAGAAGTTACAAGGGAAGATGATGCATATGAAGAACTGGAGTTGAATGACAACGTACCACCAGTATGACTTCCTTCTCGACCAGATGATGGGCCAAGTAAAACACAATCCATCCCCACATCGGTTCAACCAAATGAGCCTAGATGGCAGTTATGTCATCATGTTGCAAGACGGGAGGAGAGCAGCTCACAGCACAAAAGTAGCTCAAATACTGAATTACAGTTGCCACAGTGGGGTGAGAAGTTGCTAGTACGATGAAAACGTTCACGATAATATGTTTATTTGTTGTAAAGAGATCAGTAGTGCCTAAACTTTGTAAATAGGCCAATAGCCTACACTACTTCTTTGTGATGTGTGATATTTATTAAAAGTTTATATATTAATATTTTTGGTACATGGCTAGATGCATGGTTGAAAAGTTAAAATATCAATATTTTTTGTACATGATCAGGATATGCTTATGTAAAAACATTGTTTAATTGTTTTTTTTGGAGTTCGGACTAAAATAAAATCTAAAGAAGCATTGTGAATCCTTAAGATCCAAATAAGCATTGTTACTCGTAGTATGAACTAATAACCAACTCATTGCTTCGTATTTGAATTGTGACACAAAGCATCAATACCGATTGGTCGATAAAAATATTTCAAATTTAAATAAATTGTTTTAGATTAATTTGGTTCGAAGCATTGCGGTATTTTGTTTACCGTAATGACAAAAGACATCTTTACAGTAATTAGATTACCGTAATAAGTATTATGGTAATTTTATTACCGTAAATGGCTGCAAGAGCATTCCGGTAAATAAAAGACTGTAATGCTCAGAAGTTTCAATGCACCATTGAGCATTATGGTCCTTTGAGTATTGTAATGCTGTAATGAGTCTTTATGGTAATTTAATTACCGTAATAACTATTACGGTAATCTAATTACGGTAAAGATGTCTTTTGTCATTACGGTTCTTAAAAGACTGTAATGCTCTAGTGTCCACTGGAACTTCTTGAGTAATACGGTCTTTTGTTTACCGTAATGCTCTGAAACAAACTTATGGTAATTAAAAGACCGTAAAGACCTGTAAGAGGCATTACGGTAAACAAACAACCGTAATTCTCAAGAAGTTCCAGTCGACTCCGAGCATTACGGTTGTTTGAGTATCGTAATGGATGATGTCTTTTCGGTAATTAAGTTACCGTAATGAGTACTTAGAGCATTACGATACTCAAAAGACCGTAATGCTCTAGAAGTTCCAATAGACTCTTGAGCATTACGGTCTTTTGAGTAACATAATGCTCTAGAAGTTCCAATAGACTCTTGAGCATTACAATTTTTTGAGTACCGTAATACTCTAGGATGTCTTTACGGTAATTAAATTAACGTAATATCTATTACGGTAATTAAAACGTAATAGATATTACGGTAATTTAATTAA